ATATATCGTAAGTTAAACTATAAAAAAACAAAAAAAAGTTGAGAAGCGTACCTCGATGAGTCCTTCTGGTATGTGTCTTGAAGAGAGGTTCTTTTACAAAGATGGTGACTTATACTTTAGGACATTGTAAAAGACAAATATTCAAATAAGGAAAGAATTTTTATTTATATAAGTCAATATTAAGTTCCTAATATTAAGGATTTTTACCTAGAATTAGAAAATATTTAATAGTCAAAATTTTAGTAATCAACTTTGAAAGTCCTAAGTATTAACAAAATTTTTAAATGACACTTTTGTTCAGTGTTAAATTAATTTTTTAAAAATAATAAAGGCGAACGATATTTTGTTGAGGGTCTTCATGCTTTTAATAGACTATAGATATAGATATAGATATAATAATTGATATAGTACGCGCGTTGCGCGTGTACCATTATCTAAATGAGTAAAGAAAATTATATAAATATTTTATTTAATATTATGTTTGAGTTATAAAATAAATGTGTGAGTCGTGAGAATAAAGAATATTAATTCTATATAGCTAACTCAACAAGGGAAAAAATTGTCACATAAAAGTCCTCAATCATGGTTAATATATTGAAAAATAAAGAATCATCAATAAATATACAAAAACTAAACTATATTAATTTACCATGATTAACCGATAAATTAAAGTGAGAATATGTATTGATTAGTTATGATTTAATAATAATATTAAATATAAAGACACGTGTCATAAATATAATGTGTCGTAATATTACAAATCGTATTATTTTTATGTTTATTACCAAATGTATATAGATAGCTAAAAATATGAAATTCTTGTGTATATACGCGAAACTGGTTGCCTATTATATTTATGTTATATATTCTATTTGTATTACATAGAGTTATTTGTTTTGTGCCAATGATGATTTCGTTATATTACATTAATGATAAAATCATGATTACGACTATACCATTGCCTAAAAGAAAAAAGTTATTTTATCGTAAAGGAACCTTGGGTATAGATCTTTTAGAGTTCATAGAATAATATAAAATAGTACTATTTTAAAATAAAGGAAATTCTTTCATTAATTGAGGTAAAATCTCAATTGAATTTAAACTCCTAATTGGTAGGACTTAATTCAATAAGAAAAGATTTAATAGCCAAAATTTAGTTGATTTTTAAGTCCTAAATAATAGTAATATAACTTAAATTACTATTTTATCTATTATGAAATCTATTTTTAAAGGGTAAAAAAGACGAACAACATATCCCTAAGGGCCTTCGTGCTTTTAATATAGTACTAGTCTCTATGTTCGTGCGATGCACGAAATATCTTGTGTCAAACATCAAAAGTAATAAACTTTCATTTGCATATGTATTCCAAAATTACTTGTTACTAAATATGTGTGAATTTCATAATCGATTAACACAAAATGAAGAATATATAAAAGTCACTCAATATTTGAATTAGAAGGATACGTCTTGAGGGGGGGGGGGGGGGGTAACGTAATGGCCTAATCATAATAATTTACTCGTATTGTTATTTAATCCTACATAAATTTATAGACTATTTTGATATGAACAATAGAAAATAGAATTATTTAAAGACTACCTCTTGAATTTGAAGCCATACGTCTTTAGGGGAAAAAGGAACTCATGGCCTAATCATAGTAATTTGCTCATATTTTTGTTTAATCCTACATAAATTTATAAATTATGTTGGTATAAACAACAGAAAAAAAGAATTATAATTAAAGACTACCTCTTAAATTTGAAGCCGAAAAAATAGGCTGCAAATTATGTACTCTCCTCTTTTAAACTTACTATTTTTTTTTTTGTTCCTTTAGATATTGTTAGGATGGCATTGGAATATTGCGTTATGGCTTAAGATTTTTTCTTCTCCAATGACATTTAAGAAGTTTTATTATTAGTTGGTAACAAACTCCTATATTTTAGGAACTATAACTTAATTGACGTTATTTTATGGTTTTAAAATTTTGGTATTAGTTGGTTTCAACCTCCTATATTTTAGGCAGTAGATATTACAGTTTTATCCTATATTCCATTTTTTTTGAAGAAATAATTCAATTGTGAAGGGTATAAAAGTCAGACAATATTTTGAGGATATTTTTGTCCTTCAATATTTAGCGTTCTAACATTTGTGCTTTTATAATAATATAGATATAGATAGATAGATAGATATAGATAATTATTCATCGCAAGTTTCTTTCTTCCGTTTAAGCCATTCTTTTCTATAATCAAGATATGACATAATAAGATTTACTATTTGACACACTTAGCATAGGTTGCTCAAACTTTGAAATCAATAAAATTAAATTCTTACTTATTAAACTATGTAGGAAGTCTAATATTTAGAACTTTTAAATAAATAAATATTTCAAATGCCTTATATAAATTATATTTTTATTTAAACAATGTAAAGTAACTGCATTGATTCCATATTACCTTTGACTATATATATGACCTATAATGCATCTCCATATTATATTTGAACTACTTCCTACTCAAACAATATATTTTCTATTCACTGATTTTTTTGTATAAGGTTTAAAAACTACACTCAATAATTAGAATAAATAACTTGAAAAATATATAACAATTCAAGAGAGGGAGAGGGAGAGGTAGAGGGAGAGATATAATGGTTGGCAAGAATTTATAACACTAATGATTCCGCAAACATAAAAGCCAAATCAAATATCAAATCAATTTCTTTAATGCTTTAGGAATTGAGTTCTTATTCGATGTAATTATAGCAACATTTAAATATTTACTACATATTGTTTTGAAAAATTACAGCAATATCATTTAAACATGTTTGTGTCTTTTGCATAAGTTCACACTTACATAAAATCATATATTATATGGAATGACATGCACTTTGGTGAAATAATTGCTTTTAAATAAAATATAAAATAACAGGCACCAAATTATTAAATGATGATAATTTTATAAGTAAAGACAAGATTTTGAAGAATATATCAACTATTTTGAAAAGAAAAAGAATTTGTATACTCTTTTATTTACAAAGAAAAAAAAGAGACAATAAACAAAATAAAGTGAATTTTTAATTTATATGCACAATGCATCAAATTAATAACATAAACTCATGAAAAAAAGTTGAAATTTCATTCTTTTGGAGATGTTATATTATTCACATCAAACATAAATAAATAAAAAAGTTTAATGCAAGAAGCTACCCAAAAACTTTCAGTTGAATACTTGAGAAACAAATAAATCCTTTAGTTTCTTGTGGTGTAATAACTGTCGGGAGGGAGAAAGAAAATAAATTTATTTGGCGGGCGAATAAGAAATATTTTTTTAATTGTTAATATAGTTACACAAGCAAAGCGCGTGACCTAAAACTAGAATTTGCACAAACACTAAAAAAGAAAGACTACTCCAAATATTGGTTTACAATAAGTAAATACTGAAACAAACCGGAGGAAAAATTACTAAAGTGGATCTATAAACCAGACATGATTAACATTTATTATTTTTAAGAACTTGCAAATTTCTGTTAATTTTTGTTTTATAACTCAATACTGTTTTGAATATTATTTATGTTGTTCTTAAGAAGTTAGTTATATTATTGATATTTGTACGTCCTAAAATAGTTATACCAATAATATGTAGCCCTTTCCATCAGAAGATAGGAAAACAAATATGGTAAGAAAATATAAACATATTCGTAAGTCGTAACCGACGTTCTAATCACAATTCCCTTGGGAGTGGGATCAATTTGACATCATTGAACCTTAATTGAGTTTAATTAGGATTCTATGTAGGTTTCGACCGCATCCTTGTCTTCGTTTTTCTTCTATATATATAAGAGGCTAATCATGAACTAACCAACAAAGTGTTAGTAGTAACCTTCGACGTAATTTGTTTGAGTAGGGCATATATAATGGCCGCATCTGTATCTGCGGAGAAATGGCAAAAACCTGCATTAGGAAGATGTGTGGAGAGTAAGCAAATACGTCCAGGAGGATGTGGATACGTCTCAAAGTTTAAACACGACCCGAATTACGATTATGCGAACGACAGCGATGAGGAGCTTTTGCCCGACGGAGCATCGCCCCCTATTTTTCCCTATTTACTACCGCCAGATTGAGCAAAGCAATGGTTTTGACATTTATGACTATCCCGGTATATCTAGCTTGGCTGGAATAGGACCATATCCGGAGTTCAATGAAGAGGCTGAACTACTGACTGAACTTGCTAACCGTGCTATCCGGGAATATAATGAGAAAGAGTGCAACGTTTTCAAGTACAAGTTATTGAAGATTGAGAAAGTGAACACACAGCTGACGGGCTATCGGGAATATTTCATGACCGTTAAAGTCTTCAATCTCACCCTTGCTACTCCTATCGAGACTTTTCAAATCCATGCTGCGAAACGTGTCTATAATAATGATAAATTTATTCTCTGTTGCCGGCCGAAAGAAGAGGCAGCTGATGGCTGAATGGAGACGCGAGTTTCAGCCACTTGGACTATAGTTATTTAAGTTAGGACTTTGAGATTTCATTCTTTGTAGTTTTCAGCGCTTAATTTACTTTGATATATGATCTGACCTCTATGTTTATTGAAGTTTCTGTGTTGAGTTGACGAGCTATTGTATATGCATACTTATTGTCTAATTTGTCTACCTCGTTCATATGTTCACCCAAAAAATGAGTGCCATAAAAGATGTTAAACTTTAGTTGTATTTGTTAAATGAGTTCTAGCTAGCTTTTCTTTGATAATTGTGGCAGTGTTTTAAACTTTAACAAAACAATATACCAGATTTTCAATCGGCAAGCAAGGATCATGTAATCTCCTTGATCACTATCCTGGAAAATTTTTAAGAAATCTTATCAAATGATCTCAGTTGATAATAAGTTGTTAATTATCTTTGATCATCATATATATACACAAACATATGCACATCAACAGTTTTATATGTTGATTCATTCAACATAATCGTGAACTCGTAATCCTTTATCTTCTCTTTTTTCACATCTGACCAGTGTTTACTGCATCACATCTCCTCCTCACCTCTCCTTGATTACCAATTTTAACTTGATAAATATTAAGCTTCTCCATGGCAAGAGCAAAATCTATAGACAAAGCCTGGTTATCATTTGCATATTTCTCAACAAATGGCCTTGTCCTTGGATCACTCAAAAGCAATTGATCAGAACCAAGAACTCCTAAACCCTTCATCAAATTCTTGAACAACATGTTATCAAAAGTGCCAGGGGTTATCACATCAAGGAAGGCTGCCATGTCAGTATTCGTCGTATAATTCGCGCACATTCCTCTCAATCTCTCTGCCAATTTGGGATTCATTGTTGGGCCGGGGGTGCTAAAAATTCGGTTAGCAAACTCCTTGCAATGAACAAAGCCAATAGTATGTCCACCTCCAATCAATGCTACCATTTCTTGGATGTTGAAACCTAGACCTTGGAATGTTTTGATCATTTGATCTATTGTTTCATTTGATGTGATCTATTGTTTCATAAAACTATATTTTGTCCAATCAACGTGATAAAAGAAACTGATCCCCCAACATAAAACAGACATAACAACACTTGTATGAACTGTCAATATCTGTAGACACCGAAAAAGTTCCATAACTGAATACTTAATAGCAACAGCACCGAACAAAAAGGTAGCAACTGCATCATCTAGGTCAAAATGCAGAATTCTAAAATTCTAGCTTTCTCTACACACCAAGAGGAAATTGAAAAACATAATTAAGATTACCTGCTAATCCATATTGCACCCCAACCAACTTACTCTTACTGAATTATCCATGGAACCACAATATAGTCTATTGTCTCCAATGACCAGACACCAGTGATACTACATGGTTGGTGTGTCCTCTCAATAACATCCAAAATAGTTGGTGTTCCCATTATTCCTTGCCAATATCCCATGCTGCAGTACTTCCCAGTAATTTATCAGTGGAATTAAAAGGAACGAACATAAAGCCTTAATTTCGGGAGGGAACTGATAAGTTGGTATTTTGCTAACCTATTCATACCTCTAAACTCTCCAGAGAATCGAGCCCTCTTGTCCTGCTGCATCTGCTCTATACCTCTCAGACGGTAGCCCTCAATCCTCCGAGGAATCTCCACTACCAGTTGATAAGGAGTCCCCATTTCAACCTCTCGGGCCATGTTGGACCTAATGCCAGAATGCAACCCTGCAACAAACCTCCGTACCCTCTCTGCGTCAGTAGCAAGTATCATCAGTGCATGGCGGGACAACTCAGAAAACCTCGCCACGTAGTCGATCACCAACACCTGACCCTGCTCAAGCTGCTCAAACTGATACCGCACCTCTTCCCTCTCAGAGGGTGGAATATACCTATCCAGGAAAAGTTGTGTGAACTGACCCCATGTAATGGGAGGAGAACCCGCTGGCATGCCGAGAACATAAGACTGCCACCATCTACGAGCCCTGCCCTCCAACTGGAAAGTAGTGAAGTCAACACCATGAGACTCCAATATCCTCATGTTGTGCAGTCTGTCCATGAACCTATCAATGAAATCCTGGGCATCCTCATGACGCTCACCCCCGAAGATAGGAGGGTGTAGCCTCGTCCATCTGTCCAATAACTTCTACGGATCGCCATCCGCAGCCGATCTAGGCTCGGCTACCACTGCGGCAACTGGCTGAACCCCATCCGCGGGTAGTGCACTCGGAGTCTGATACACTGCAGATGCATGACCAGGAGCCTGAGCAGTAGGGGTCTAGGCTCCCCCTCCCGCCTGAGAAGTGGCCGGGTCTGCTGGAACTAGACCAGCCTGGTCATGGAGCCCATGAACCGCAGCATACAGCCTATGACCTCCTGGAAGCCTGCGCTGTCATGAAATCCACCGGGGCGGGCGCCGCTGCGGGCACCTCGCCCTGCTCCTCAATAATGGGATCCCCTGCTGGATCCGCCGGTGGTGCAACTAGAGCAGCTCTGGGATGCCCCCGTCCCCTACCTCGGGTCGGTGCCCTCCCTCGGCCTCTGCCTCGGCCTCTAGCAACAGATAGAGCAGCTCCTCTCGGGTCTGGAACATATGTCGTGCGCGTCCTCACCATCTGTGAGAGAATAGGAGGAGAAATTTAGTATACCGTCAAATGCACGATAGAAGATGAATAAAGAGTAGTTTCCTAACACACTATAGCCTCCCGAAGATAAGTACAGACGTCTCCGTACCGATCCGCAAGACTCTATTAGGTTTTCCCATAACTTGTGAGACCTACATGAACCTAGTGCTCTGATACCATGTTGTCACGACCCAAATTCCATTTTAGGTTGTGATGGCGCCCGGCACCATGGTTAGGCAAGCCAACCCTAACAACTAGTGAGTTCTCAATTATTGTATTAGACATTCCCAACATTTCACTTAACTTATATTTAAAACGGTCGATAATTAACAATTTCATAACAATAGAAAAACAACCCAAAAATGATGGTCTACTAATGTGTGTGCCAGGAACTAGTGTCACAAGTACTAGGGCAGCTAGTAGAACATACAAAAGAATGTAACTATCCTACTGTCTGAAACAGAATAGACAGTAATAACAAAAGAAGAGACTCCGACATGCTGCTAAATGGCTCAGAGGGGCAGCTCACCGTGAAATCTCGGTCAAATCAGGATCGCGCGTCGGACTAGTAGCTAGATGTACCTGCCTCAGATCCTATACACTTAAGTACAGAAGCGTAGTATGAGTATATAAACATTATGTACCCAGTAAGTATCTGATCGTGCCCTCCCTCGGGGTCCTCCAGCTCAATCTCCAGATCCCTCGGGGTTTTCTCTAGCCACTGGCTGGGCCCTGTGGCTGGCCTGAGTCACCTCCCTCGGGGTCCTCCAGCTCAATCTCCAGATCCTCGATTTGGGGGATCACCCCTCTCCTCATGGGCTCTCTGTCACCTTTCTGCTCTGGTACCCGGGCTGCCTAAGCTGCTGGGACTGGCTCCTCCAACAGTAAGTCCAATGGAATGTCTCTAGCTGATCTAATATATGAAGTTCAATAATAATTTGTCACGACCCAATTTCCATTATAGGTCGTGATGGCGCCCAACACCATTCTCAAGCAAGCCAACGCATAAAAAAATCAATAAGTGTTCATTTTACTTTACCGAAATAAGTACTACAATTTCTAAACTTGAAATTAAAACGAGTGATAATCAGTTATGTTCCAAAATAATTATACAATTCCCAAAAGAAATGTCTACTAATGTGTGTGCCAAGACCTAGTGTCACAAGTGCGTGGGCAGCTAGTAGAATATGCAAAAGAATAACTCTATCCTACTGTCCGAAATAGAGTAGACAGCCAAAAGTAAAGAAAAGACTCCATCGGGCTGTTGAACGGCGTAGGAAGGGAGCAGCTCACCGTGGAATCTCGGCCGGATCAAGGGTATGCACCAGCCTGGTAACCAGATGTACCTGCAACAGACCCTGTACAATTAAGTACAGAAGTGTAGTATGAGTACATAAACAATAGGTACCCAGTAAGTATCCTGTCTAATCTCGAAGAAGTAGAGACGAGAGGTCGACATGACACTTACTAGGGTCAAATAATATGATAAGTGATATACTAAGCATGGATAGCAAGTAGTGCCGAGGGTCTAACAATATACAACATGAGGCAACAGGTCCTTTACTAGATGATATCACAGTTAACCATTTACACTTCAGGGCATATAACAAAGTTCCGATCACAGCAATATACCAAGCAATAAGCATACGCAAGTAGTGTCGACGTCGTACGACCCGATCTAACATGAAAAATAAAGTGTGCACTGCCAGAGGATCGAACGACGCGAACCATAGATGCATCTATTACCCCGCTCGCGAATCATCCATGCGACGTGGTCATATGTATTTAAACACAACAACAGATAGACAAGAAAATATATATCAGGAAAGAAATTACTCATGAAAATACCAAAATTTTCTTTTAAAGGCCAAGAAAGGATGTGCTTCTTATTAGAGTCATCTATCACATTCAATATGATTTAAGAAATCCCCAAATTTATCATAGAGTCACAAGAACAACACATAAAGCATGCTTTGGGTCCTAAACTACCCGGACTTAAGCATAATAGTAGCTACGCACGGACTCTCGTCACCTAGTACGTACGTAGCCCCCGCATTTAGTGGCAAATTATTCAATTATTACACCTATGGGGACAATTCCCTCTTACGAGGTTAGATAGGAGACTCACCTCGCTTCAAAGCGTACTTCTAATATCAAGAACGTGCTCAACCCTCAATTTGGAACCGCACGATCCGAAACTAATTAAACGAAGTAGGAACTAGTCAATACAAGCTCAAGAATACGCTTTTTAATTACTAAAGTAATTTTCCAACCCTTAACACAAGTTTCCTAAAATCCGACCCCGGGCCCACGTGCTCGGATTCCGAAATTTTTCGAAGGAAGTTGTTCTCTATAACCTAAGGATCAATAATATATGATTTCTACTCCATTGCATAACAAATTTCGTGGTAAAATCTAAGTTTCATCAAAACCCTAGGTTTTGCTCTAACCCCTTGATTTATCCTAATCTTGGTGTGTTAATCTACCCAAAACTCAAGTATTAAACTTAGAAATAAGGAGGATGAACTTACCTCAATGTGCTATGTGGAAATCCTCTCTCAAAAGATCCCAAAATCGCCCAATGGTGAGTGAAAAATGGCCAAAATGACTTAGAGCCCGTATTAAATGAACTCACTTTCAGTGATTTCCGCATCTGTGGTCAGGGGACCGCATCTGCGGTCCCGCTTCTACAAGAGAAAGGCTGCATCTGCGGAATTGGCCAAGCGAGCTGGGACCGCTTCTGCGCAGGCGCTTCTGCGGCTAACGAGCCGCTTCTGCGGTTTTGACTGGGCCTGCCTCGGCCGCATCTGCGAAGGAGCTACCGCTTCTGCGGTCTCGCACCTGCGGCTGACCAACCACAGGTGCAGTTATGACAGCAACCTGAAGCTTCAGCTCTTCTCAAATTTTCCAACTTTACTCGAGCCTCGTCAAATTGACACTCGGGTCTCCTGGGCCCCGCCCGAACATACCGACAAGTTTGAAATCATGAAACGAACTCGCTCGAACCTTCGGAACGCCCGAAACAACCTAAATCTAAGAATCACCCCCTAAAACCAATTGATTCAAACTTATGAACTTCAAGTTCTTAATTCACTTCTAACGTGCCGAAACGTGCTTAAACTAGTCGGATTGACACCAACTTTTGTGGGCAAGTCTTAAATGTTATTTTAGACCTGTACCGGCTCCGGAATCAACATTACGGGCCCGATACCTATATGATCAAGCATTATCAATTTCATTAAACCTTAGAATTTCAGTTTTAATAATTTCTAATAAAAATTCATTACTCGGACTAGGGACATCGGAATCCGATTCCGAGCATACGCCTAGGTCCC